GACTCAGTTGAAAGGCTATAATTTATGCCTCATTTGCCGTTTCATGACCATGCTCACGGCGAAGTTGTATTTTCTGTATTAAGCATGAAAACAGGTTCTCCAACTCTCCGTCAGGTTCAGTTCAACCCTGTTCTTCATTTTTGACATTATTTATTTTCAAACCTAAGTAGGGGAGATGCGTGGAGCAGGGATTGGATCACAAAAACGTCACTCATTGAGGTTGGTCCTTTTTGATAACTATTCTGCAGATTGAGGTTGTTCAGTTGTTGTGCAATTGCAGTATTTATTTTTGTTCAAAGTTTGGAACTTTGTCACTCTTTGAGGAATTCCTGTTCTTTCTTTCTGGGATAGATTAAGTCATGTGCTTAACAGGAAAATCAGATGTGTTATTAAGCCATAAATTATTGTGTTATAAGGAAGAGTGGTCAATATTAGGTAGTTTATCTCACGATTTCTTCGTTGAAATTCTATGCCGTTTACCAGCATAGTCGCTAATAATATCCAAGTGTGTTTGCAAATTATGGTGCCGCCTAATAACTGGTGTTTGCGTGCCAAAGCTCTTGTCTTTTGTCCCAATTTCTGGCTTCTTTTATAGAGGGTTTGGGAAGGAGATTGAATATCCTTCCGCGTCAGCCCAAAAATCAGCCTTTATTTGAGCAGAACAGAGAATTTGTGAAGTCTTTTTCTGCTGTCATGCCGTTCCAGCCTGGTAATGGAGTTTTCCTTGATTGTTGCAATCGATTGCTTCTATATCAAGTGATGTCAGCCTGTCAGTACTACATATGTAGCCCTGCATCCAAACAAGTGGTTCAGATCCCCCGAGACAGTACACACGAGAGATCTCGTTATGCAGCTTTAGCTTTCCATCCTCTTGAGTCTCCTCATTACAGGGTTGTGCGCTTTAATCATTGGCCTAATTACCCTGAATCTGACACGGTGACTCTTGATTTATTTTCTTTAGAGAGTGGGAAGTGGCTTAGTCATCTAATGCCTATGGAAACAACAGTTAAAGTTGATCTATGGATCAAGTGCTGTGTTTATTTGAATGGTGTGTTATACCGCTCATCTCACTCAAAACATCTTTTACATTTTGACCTCAATGAAATGAATGCTCTTGCTACTGAACTTCCAAATATGGGTACAGCAGATGTCTGGGGGTTTATTGGTGTCTCCAGAGGCTGTTTATATTATTCAAATCAGGATGACTCAACATTGTTTGTTTGGGCACTTGAGGTCCAACACAAAGTGAGCAGATGGATATTGAAGCACACCATCCACATAAATGATTTTGTCAAAGATTGCTCTGGTGGAATATGGTGTCTTATTAATAACAATTCATGGCCTAAGCCATAAGCATTGGATCCAAATTTTGAAGCCATTTTCTTCAGGTTTACCAATGGAGTTTTTAGGTATAATCCTGAGGACAAGACGTTGGAATTGGTTTATTCTATGAGGCCAGACAAAGTAATTCTCTTTGGTTATTATGCTCTGTTTACATATACACCATCCCCGGTGATTTTGAAAGACTTTAGGCACATTGCATTTTCGGCCATGGGGTAAGTTGCACCATTCATCAAAATTCAAATTTTTTTTTCCTTTTTTGCTCGTAACTTATATGTTTTATTATTGCAAATTTAAAATTAATGGCTTCATGATCTTGTACCGTGACCCTTTTTCCCCCTTTTATATATTGTTTTAAGTTCTAGTCTTTAGTTGTTTTGTTTTCATTTTGTATATATTACATGTTTGGATTGTCTTATCAATTGTTTGTAAGAAATAATTGTGGTTGCATTACGAATATTTTGTTCAGAAGATGAAATTTGGATTCAGTTTTAAAATATTTTTAAAAATATTCTAATGAGCTGATTATCCACTCATCCCATTATATGCAAAATGCTTCTATTGGGGCATTGTTTGTTCTTTTGGATATGGATGCTATAGCAAAATGTGGTCATGAATGGAAAGTTAATTGTATAGCATGAGCACGTCTTTGTACACTTTTATAGTTTCATGTGTAATGGCATTCTACTAATAGATAGTTGCTTTGCATATAATGGTTATCAAAAGAAGCATCTCATAAAAGCAGTCAAGTAGTTCTGCGTCCTTCAAATTGTTCATTGTTGCTTTCTTTGCAGGTAATGGCTATGACAAGAAGCATTTGCTGAAAAGTGGTTGAGTTGTTCTGCCTCTTTCTAACCTGATTCCCTTCATCCCTCTGATTCCTAATTTCGGGAATATTTTGAATCATCTTATTTTTTGGAATGATGAGCATTCAATGACTGAAAACTGGTGTCCATGATAAATTAACGAGCTTGTTGTTTGGTTCATATTATCTAATTATAGTCCTTTATTTCAGATGGATTTTGTATTTTAAATTATGCAAACTTTATTAATTGCTTCATACCATTTGCATTGTTGATTAGTCAAACTTCTTTAATGGTGTATGGCTGGTTTAAGCCATATGCATTGAATCCAAAGGGTGAAGTGATTTTTATTTTGGTTCCTAGATCAGTATTTAGGCAAAATGTTGATGAATGATGATGATGCATTGAAACTGGTTGGTTTATCCTCTGAGGTTGGACCAAGGAATACTCTGATTCAGCTTTCTCCTGTTCGTACCCTCTCATAAACCTTTCACACTTTCCCTTTTCCACCTTAACTCTTTGGTCTTAATAATGCCACCAAAAAGAAAAAAGAAAAAAATAAATGAATGTGCACACAGAAAAAGACATGCACACTTTTAAGAATCATTTGCATGAGTGATCTTGTAAAAGATTGCTCTTGTGGAATATGCCGTGTCATTGATAAAGTTTCATGGTTTAAGCCATATGCGTTGGATCCAAATTCTGAAGCCATTTTCATGGGGTTCCCAAAGGAGTTTTTAGGTATAATCCCGAGGACAAAACATTGGAATTGGTTTATTCTATGAAGCCAGACAAAGGAATTGTCTCTGTTGTTTGTGCTATGTTTTTATATACTCCTTGCCCGGTGATTTTGAATGACTGTAAGCACATTGCATTTTCTGCCTTGGGGTAAGTTGCGTCATTCATCAAAATTTCTCTTTTTTGTTTGTTTTCTTTCTTGCTGGTGATTTATATGGTTTATTATTGGAAATTTGAAATTGATGGTCCTGTACTAGGACTTTTAGCCCCTTTTATGTAATGTTTAAAGTTCTAGTCTTCAATTGTTTTGTTTTCATTTTGTAAATATCACAAGTTTGAATGGTCTTATCTTGTTTGAGAAATATGATTGTGGTTGCATTGTGAATGTTATATGTGCTGTTGAGAAGATGAAATTTGGATTAGTGTTAAAATATAGCAAAAAACTTCTGATAAGCTGATAATTTGCTCATCCCATTATATGCAAAATGCTTCTATTGGGGCATTGTTTGTTCTTTTGGATATGGATGCTATAGCAAAATGTGGTCATGAATGGAAAGTTAATTGTATAGCATGAGCACGTCTTTGTACACTTTTATAGTTTCATGTGTAATGGCATTCTACTAATAGATAGTTGCTTTGCATATAATGGTTATCAAAAGAAGCATCTCATAAAAGCAGTCAAGTAGTTCTGCGTCCTTCAAATTGTTCATTGTTGCTTTCTTTGCTGGTAATCACTGTGAAAAGACGCATTTGCAGAAAAGTGGTTGAGTTGTTCTGTTTTCTAACCACTAATTATTAAATTAAGAGTAACTCCATGACCTGATGATCACACGCCTTATTAACGTCGGTGAGTTATTCACTTGATCTGAATATTGAATCTTAATCTACTAATCATTCCCCTTATAAAAAAATTAAATTAAGAGAGGTGTATGATTTTTTCTTTGTCCCAATCTCTAAATTAAAGATTTAAAAACAATATTTATATTTATTTGTAATATTTTTTAAAAAATAAAAAAATAATTTTTATAATTGAATGATTAATTACATTAAATTAATAATAATAAAATTAAAATTAAAAATATTTATTTAATTTTAAAAATGAAAATAATAATTAATTTAAAATTAATTTAAAATAAAAAACTTACTGTTATTTTGAGATTTAAAAAAAAAAAATAGTGGATGAGAGTATTCCATCCTGTAGCTGGTGCTTTGCTTCGAAAACACTCAACTCTCATTGTTTTATTAGATCATTTAATTATTTAACTCGTCCACGATTAGGTAATGTGTTTTGATTGTTGAATAAATACGGATATAACCATACAATTAAAACATTTAATGAAGATAACTCTATCACAATATTATAAAATTTTACGGAAAAAAAGTATACATATATTTTTACTTTTAAAATAAATTAGAATTTTAATAATAAATTATTTTATTTTATTTATTAAAATTTAATTTAAAATTTAAAAATTTATCTTATTAAATATTGATAGTTAGATTTAAAAACAAATTATATTTAAATATATAAATGACTTATAAATTTATGTATCAACGTAATAGGATAAATTTTTAAATTAAATTTTAATTTTAAATTTAGATTGAGATTTTAGTTTTTTTTAAACAAGACTAATACACATTAAGTTTATAATTTATTTCAAAATATTTAATATCAAATGCATAATTTAATGCTCTCCTAAACACAAAAGAAGAACCAAAATTATACAAAATTATAATTAAAGATATTAGCGGAACAATTTAAATTTGTCATTTGCCCTATTGTATCTAAAAGGGAAACCATTAAATGGGAAATTATGATATAATTATATGATATAAAAGTAAAAATATCTCAAATTCAACCATAAAATTCAAAACAGTACCTGATGGGTGAACATGATTTGTGTGTGAATGGTGCCTTTTTTATATTCAAATAAAAAAAAGAAAAGCAGAAGGGGAGGTAAATTTTACATGAAATGCCAGTGAATGGTCTAGAAATAGTGCCAAAATTTTTATGTACCAATATTAATATATCATTATTTTTCATTGTTGGTCAATCAAGCTTATTCTTTTTTATTTTGATTATTTTTAATTTTTTTAAAAAATTTTTATCGATAAATTTGGTCCAAAAGAAAAAGAATTTTATAAAAAAAAATATAATTATTTAATATTAAAAATTTTTAAAGAATTTGATAACTTATGTCAATAATTTTAGATATTAATTAATAACCATATCCAAACCAAAATTATATTTTATCATTTTAATTTTATCCAAATTCTAAATATCTGAATTATTCAAACCAAAATTCAAAAGCTATGGTTAAAAATTTAATTGTGCATGAATAGTCTATAAACAATAAAATATAAGTGATATTATTACCACATTTTTTATTATTAATATTATATTTTTATTTTAATTAATTATCATATTTTTTAATTTATTAAAAAATAAAAATTTAAAAATTTAAAAAAATATAATATAAAATATAATAAATAATTATTAAAAAAATATAATATTAATTATTTAAAAAATGATAATAACCCACTAGAAATGTGAGTGAGGAGAGTGAATACTTTGGTGACAGTAAGTACACTTCGTAAAATCGAACGAAAAGACAAAAAACCCAATTCAAGTGGACACTATGCAAGGGCAAAATGGGACATTTCTAGGACTCACGTTTTATGCATTCTAGTGACTAGCGATGGATAGGGGCAGGCAAACCTTCGAAGAGCAGTGCTAGGGGCACTCGCCTCTGCACTCTCCGGCCAACACTTCCACTTTCATTGGGCCACGTAAGCTTGCTCCGGAGTTTTTGAAACGCGACTTCTTGGATCGAAATAACGTGGCCCAATAAAAATGGAAGTGTTCGCCGGAGAGTGCAGGAGGCGAGTGCCCCTAGCACTGCTCAACCTTCGAATGGTTGGGACTCAATTGAAATATTGTGATAACACCAAGGACACAGTTGTACTTTCCCATTCTTAAGCGTGATAGTACTATATTATCCGCTTTCATCACCTGCATAGGGTGCAGTGCAGCTCTTTTCTTCTTCCTCTCTGCTCTGCATTTATTTTTCGCAGGCACAACAGAGGAAAACCACTATTCTCAAAGTTTCTTTGGCAAATCGTTTTCAGAATGCCTTTTTTTTTTTTTTTTTTATCGTTATTTATCTTCAACCCTAAGTAGGGGAGATGCGTGAAGCAGCGGTTGGAGAGTTGGATCACAAAGACGTCAAACTTCATGAACATTGTAGGCATAGTGAGTAATACCCATCTCTACAAAGCTAAAGCTCGGCCCTTTTTGACAACTATTCTGCAGATTGAGGTTGGTTTATCGTTGTGCAATTCCAGTATATGTTTTTGTTCAAAGTTTGGAACTTTCTTACTTCTCTCCTGAATTCCAGTTCCTTCTTTCTGGGATAGACTAAAGGGTTAATAATATGGAATAGTGGTCAATATCGGGTTATTTAGCTGATGATTTGTTGGTTGAAGTTCTATGCCGTTTACCATCTGAATCCCTAGTAAGATCCAAGTGTGTTTGTAAATTATGGTGCCGCCTAGTAACTGATGTTTGCGTGCCAAAGCTCTTGTCTTTTGTCCTAATTTCTGGCTTCTTTATTAAGGGTTTCACTGCACATTGAATATGCCTCCGTCAGGGAAGAGCTTCCATGCCGGCTGGAAAATCAGCTTTTGTTCCGGAATAACTGAGGATTTTTGTGAAGTCTTTTTCTGCTTTGATGCCATTTCAGCCTGATAGTGGAGATCTGCTTGACTGTCGCAATGGTTTGGTTCTATTTGTCATGAGATCTGTCCCTCAGAACTACATATGCAACCCTGCAACCAAACAATTGGTTGAGATCCCCGAAACAGTACACACGACAGAGCCGTTAGTGCAGCATTGACTGTTTGAGAGTTATAAATATGGTTGCATTGCAAAGGGTAATATGATTTATTGAGAGGGTAAATTTTGGTATCATGTTAAAATATTTGTTAAAAAAATAGGGTGATAAGCTAATTTTCCACCCGTCCCATTATATGCAAATTGTGGGGTTTTATTTTTTATTTATTTATTTGTTTATTTTTTGGGATGTGGTGGATGCATAACTGGATTTCTAGTTTTTCCTAGGTTGAACTATTGAATTCTTTGCTAGAATTTAACATCAGAAATTCAGAATAAAATAACATTTTTGAGAGTCTGCTAACATTGTTTTTTTCAATTTTCTGTTTGCTTCAGTTGAACACACCCACAAACCACCATTGGGGAATTGTTCTTCCATGGTTGACGGTACTGCAGAGTAGCCATTGGAACTTTGAACCATCTCTAAATCACTTCTACCTCAGCTGTCCGTACAACAAACTGCTGCTAAACTGCGGTCTGCACTTCAGGTTATTTTCACAATTTTATTCTATTTTTTAAGAATGGCTGTCAGTTTGTATATTTGTTTGTTTTGAAAACAGAGGACATACAACCACTGTTTGTTTGTCAATCGAGTGAATTTTAGGGAATAATTTTGCCTTGCACCTGGTTTGAATAAAAGGAAATTAGAAGAGCAAAATTAAATGTATAATTCAGCATCAGAACAGAATTTTAATTTGCTTCAATTGTCTCCTCTGTATGATCCGTATACTTTTCACCACTGTGCATTGCATTATAGGTATTTTATATCTGGATGCTTAGTTATTTTTTCCTTTTTAAGTCATAAAAGTGTTAAAAATGGTAATAGATGATGTTGAGTTGGATAATGCCTTGGATCTTTAAGGAAAATTACTGCACCTAGCTTGCAAACTCAGTTCTCTATTTGTTCATATTCACCATCTTGCTTATGAATGTTGAGGCATTTTCACATTTTGGTAGGAAACGGAAAAAATAAAATAAAGTCTTAACACTTTCACATATTTGCACTTTAGCCCCTGAACTTTCTAAATGTGCACACATTAAATCTCATAAGGGACATTTGAAAGTTGGAACACAGCATTAACTAATGCTTGTTTCCTTTTTATTGGCGTTTTCTTGGTCTGCTACAACTTTTTCTTTTCAATCTCCTGCTTGCTTAAGTTGAGTTTTGTATAAATGTTGGTTGTTTGTTTTGTTTAGTTATGCTGTGCTGAAGTTCTGTTGAAGCCTTTTTCCTTTCTTTTTTTTATGATATAAAAATAAATATGCACTTCTTTGCAGGATGTTTGAGTTTCTGCAGGAAGGAAGATTCTTTACTGACTTTAAGGTGGGCAAGCCTCACTTTGTTAATTGAAGGCTTTTTGCTCCAGTTGCTATGCAAAATATTATTGCAATATATTTACTAATATTTTCTGTGAATATAGAGTCTGGAGGATTTGGTTGTGTTTACAAGTGTATACACAAGTTAGATTTGCATAACTATGTGACCAAGGTAGTCAAAATCTGAAAAAAAGACTAAAAAGAAGACACTAAGGTAAAAGACGTATTAGAATCAGATAGTTCAAGTTAAGGCACTTTGTGCTGATTGACTGATATTTAATTCATCATTTGTAGGGAGGCACACTTCCTAGCTTCTGTGGAGCATCAAAACATTGTTTGTTATTATTAGGTATTAACTCCATTCCTTTCTATAACCCTTGAGATTTCCATTCTGATTATTGACTCCTGTTAAAAACCCATGTGATAATCCTCCGTCCTGGCTTAACTTTGATTTCCACTACTAGAGTTTCATTTTTGGGTCATCTTTGTTTGTTAACTAATCACATGTTGATGCCAAGATTTGGAAATTCATTGTTGCTTAAAAGGGATTCATATTTCGCTAAAATGAATGTTCATTGTTCATATAGTAAAAACTTTCTTATTATTTTTGAAAAGTAAAAAAAATGAAGACAATCGTTAGTATTCTCATTTGGTGGACGTCTAACAATCTTTTAAAAGAAGTTGCTAGACTATGAAGTTTTGTGTGCTTGGTATGGATTTCTAATTGCATAGTTACTTGCACATTGTGAGGCTTTTGGGGTGGAGTGTCAGATGTGATAGTGATACAATCATAAGGTTTAAAAGATTTAAAGTTCAATGGACTGTGATGCAACATTAAACGCAGAAAACAAACCTAAAACGTGTTTAGGCCAAATGAAATAAACACAATATCAAACTCTAGAAACTAGAGAGGATTCTCTAAATAAAAACTACAACGTATTGATAGCAAAACTTGAGAATAGCTGTTGACTTTGCAAGTCTTTATATGGTAAGCCTATTATAAAATCTTAATGGAAATAGCAAAATCAAATAATTAAAACAGACTACTAAAATGACTAAAACATAATCCTAATAGAAATAGAAAACAAAAAAATAGAATAATTATCACATGTTCTAGCACAAAATGGTATTATAAAATGAAATAGAGTTATAATATGAAGTAACCATAACACATGTTCTCATCAAGCTGAGATTAAATTTTGAATGGATTAAATCTTGTACTTTCTTTATGTAACATTTTTTTCATGCGTTTTAGGTTTGGATGGAAGATGGCTATCCTTCATGAATATGAGGAAGATGGAAACCTATTGAATTTGAGGAGGAAGAGGAAGATGTTGAATTTGAGGAAGAAGAGGAAGACATTGAATCTGAGAAAGAAGAGGAATATGTTGTGGTTTGTGAATGATTTCAATTATACTTTTATTTTTTTTTTTTGTTCTTATTGGTTTTTTCTACTACTACCATACTTGCATCTTCTTGAATGATGATTCATTTCTTTTTTCATTTATGTTTTAGGTTGGGATAGATGGAAGAGTTTTTTCTTTTTTTTGAATCTATTGAGAAAGTAGTCCCCTTGTTGTTTATTCAAATAAACTTTGCCATTGGTAAAACTCACACATTACATATAAATATACTTGTGTTGAAAAAAATGGAATAATTTTGTCTAATTTGTCCACCTTTTATCCTTTTATTTAGTAACTTGGGCAAAAAATTAGAGAAGTTTGTGGACAATGTTGAATTGACTTGGAAGTGGTTTCTCCAAATTATGGAAGGACTAGATCATGTTCACTTGATTGAAATTGTGCATAATGACTTGTCAAGAAAGATTTTTTTTTTTTTTGACAAGAACAATCATTCCGAGATAGGGGACTTGGGCGTGGTCCCTTTTAACCCACGCCCAAGTCCCCTATCTTGGCGTGATTGTTCTCGTCAAAAAAAAATATTCTTTCTTGACAAATTATTATGCACAATTTCAAGCAAGTGAAGATGATTTAGTCCTTCCATGATTTGGCGAAACCACTTTCGAGCCAATTCAGTATTGTCCAGAGACTTCTTCTCTAATTTCTCGCTTAAGTTACTAAATAAAAGTTTAAAGGTAAACAAGTTAGACAAAATTATTCTTTTTTTTTTACACAAATTAATAGTTATATGTAATATGTAAATACATACCCATGACAAAGTTCCATCTGAATAAACAATAAGGGGACCACTTCTTTCTCAACAGATTTAGAAAAAAAAAAGACTTCCTTTTGTTCTAACCTACAACACAAATGAAAAAGAACAAAGAAATAACTTAATTATTTTGAAGAAGAACAAAAAATTGATTCAAAAAGATGTTAGTATTGGGGCATGGTAGTAGAAACCATTTAGGATAAAAACAAGATAAAAGCATAATTGAAATCATTCACAAACCCAGCATATTCCTCTTCTTTCTCAGAATCAATTTCTTCCTCTTCTTCGTCATATTCAACATCTTTCTCTTCTTTTTCTTCAAATTCAACATCTTCCTCATAAAGCGAAAGTGCAAGATTTAATACATTCCAATTTAAAGCATAGCCTGATGGGTACACTTGTTATGGTTAATTTTAGTATTTGAACTCTATTTCTTTTTATAATTTTTTTTTTGCATTAGAATATGTGATAATTATTTTATTTTCTTGTTTTCTATTTCTGTTAGGATTTTGTTCTAGTCATTTTAGGAGTTTGTTTGAATTATTTTATTTTCCAATTTCCATTAAGATTTTATGATAGTATTACTGTATAAGGACTTGTAAAATTAACAGCTATTCTCAAGTTTTGCTGTCAATATATCAAATGGTTTAAGTCATTGGATCCAATTTGTGTAGGTGATTTTCATTTTGGTTATTGTAACATTATTTTCATTTATCATCAGCCACGTGGTCGATGGTAGAATTACTTGTGCTCTTAGCCACAATTCTAGGGTTTAATCCCTAGTCTTTGCATACCAAAAAAAAACAAAAGATTATTTTCATTTTAGTTTTATTGTAAAGTGATTACCATACAGCGGTACTGGTTTATTGTAAGAAGTCAGATCCAAGGAATACTCTAGATCCATTCTCCAATGTTTGCCTTCACTCCTTGCTTCGTTATTTTGACAGGTTGCAGATGCATTGCTTTTGTGTTATGTACTTACTATGTCATAACTCAGTGTTTCACTTCTTGATCATCTTTCTTGCTAGTTACTAATATCAATTATTTTTATTTGAGTGGATGATTCCATGATGCTTTACTTCGAAGTTATTTGTTTATTCGCTCTTTTTACATGGTATTCCGTTGAGTCTTCTGATTTGTTTTCTAGATATCATGGACTTTGGTTGTCTATTTATTGTTAGTAGTATAAATTGTGCTTGCATTTTAAAGGATCTCTGGTTTTGTTGAGAAGGCAAATTTGGGATCTGTTGTTAAAATCACTTGAGAGATATCCGTGTGCGTGTGTGCTAATTATGTGCTCATTCGTCATGTGTGACTTGAAAACATTGTGGAATTTTGTGTTTTATGAGTCATGACTAGTTCAACCCTCAATGGAAACAAAAGATATGGTTCGTGAGGGATTCATTCTTGCACCACATCAATCTGGATGTCATGTCAAACCCGACTTTCTTCTGCTGGAGGATAAGAATCTTCTCTCTTGTTCCCTTTTTCTATTGAATTGTTCTTTTGTTTTTCTAGTAAACGAACAGGGTGCAATTAGAGGAGAGCTGTCATAACCCTATCCTTAATTGTTGATACTCTGAATTGTTGTCTTCAATTGAATGGACTTAATTGCATAAAAACAAAGTTTGGGGTTTACATGTCACTTTTTGGAAACCTTTCATATTGTTATGAGTGGATTCTCACGTAATCTCCACTAAGCTTTACCGAGACTAAATCTGTAATTGCCCAAGAAATTTCAGCCAGTAAAGCATTCTCTTCTCTAGATCCGAGCAAGGGAAGAAGGGAAAAGACCCTGTTGTTTCAGACTTGTAGACTTGAAGACCCTTAGAGGATTCTGCAAGTCCAATATTGTGCATGTCTGTGGGCTGAGCAAGAGGAGGAACGGCAAAGAAACGGCTATTCAACAGTATGTGTATTGACCTTGACAGGTGAGTGTAGGGTGAGGCTGAGGGCCATAAAAGGTCAGATAAGTGGAGGTTATGACTCTTGTACCTATATTTGGATGTAAGATTGTAGGTGATTGTTATAAAATGAATCTAGACCTAGTTAACGCAAGTGGCTTTCCTATCCAGTTCACCTAGAGACTACAATTAAAGTTGCAACATGGATCAGGCTGTATCGTACCTGCTATCTCATTCTCGCTCGAAACACCTACATCTTGACCTTAATGAATTGAATGTTCGTGCTATCGTGGGTTAATTGATATCTTCAGAGGCTCCTAATATTGTTTAAATCACGATGGCTCAACGTTGTTCGTCTGGGCGCTTGAGGTACGATGCAAAGTGAGCAGATGGATATTTAAGCACACTTCTTGCATAACCAATTTTTTAGGTGCGATTATACTAGCATTAATATATTGGATCTTATTAGAACTCTGCAGTTAAACATGTTTAGACAAGAGTGGTATTAAGATGGGTGATTTCTTGGGTAGTTCTCACGTTGCAGCACTCTTTTTAATTTATAGGAGTTAACTCGAGTGGTTAAGGAGATATTCAAATCATGTTGAAAATGCAAGTTAATATTTCTTCAATGCCACTTGGGTGCAAATAATTTTGATAGATCAGTTTGCCACCCTTAGAAGTGGCTTTACCTAGTACTTATGGACAGACCAGTTTACAAGTACTCAAAAGATGAGACTGGCTAAAGGCTTGAATGCAATGATATCCGATAAATAATGAAAGGTAGCTCTGCTGAAACGTGGGCATCTTATTAAGGTCTTCACCAATGTATTAGTCGTTACCTTATTATTACTAAAAGCCTGTGGTAAACTTTATAGCAAACAATAGGCTCCTAAAAGCTTCGTGGTTTTGGTTTAAGCCATGTGCAGTCGATTTGAATTCTGAACCCAACTTTCACTGGGTCTGCGAAAGGAATTTGAGGTATAATCCTGACGACGAAACGTTGAAATTGGTTTATTCTGAAGGCAAGATTCTCAAATAAAAGGGTAAGAATAGATCTGTACCTCAAAAAAATATAGAGGTAAATTATTTTTTTAAATTATAGATTAAGATAAATTATTCACTTTTTAACATGTAACGTCAAAATTTTGTGCCACATAAGTATTTTTTAATCGAAATTTGACGTTACATGTTAAAAAATTAGTGATTTGTTTTAATTTATAATTTAAAAGAACAATTTATCTCAATATTTTTTTTTAAGATAGATTTGTCTCTACTCCCTTATTTAAAGAGTGGATTTGAGAGTTTTACCTGGTGTGAGAGGGCAAATAAAGGAATATTTTCTAGTTATCGTACCATCTTTCCACATGCAACTTCCCTCGTGATTTTGGAAGATTGCCAAGCAGTATAATTTATCAGAATTTCACTTTATTTTCATTGGGTTACAGAACGAATTTTGGGATAAGATTGCAAACACAATAGACGGTCCACCAAAATAAAAAGGAAGAAAAAACTAAATATATCATCAGATGAATGGCAAACTATTTTTCAATAATACATATCAATGGGACAGAAATCTCATGATGAATGATAACCAAGTCCCAACATGTATCCATTAATGTTTTCTCACACTGAAATTCTGTATGGATGGAGTATCTGACCTTACAACTTCTAATCAGTAGTATAAAAGCAAGGGAAATGTCTTGTGTCAAGATAATGTACATTCTTAGCTCTGCATTCCATCAGAAGAATCGGAGCCCTTATATATACATATAGTCCATGAAAGAGAAAATCAATAATGAGTATAATGTTAATTGGTCCCGGATTCAGAAATTGCCTTACTGTATTTGAACTTGAGATAAGCTTTGATGAAAGTATCTAGTTCACCATCCATAACAGATGAAATATCTGATGTTTCAACTCCCGTCCTTATATCCTTGACAAGTTTGTATGGATGGAATACATAATTCCGTATCTGCTGCCCCCACTCAGCCTTCACTGCATCTCCCCTTATTAGCTTGATTTCAGATGCACGTTGCTCCTCAGCTATGACTAATAGCTTGGCTTTTAACCGGCTAAGAGCCTTAATCTTGTTTGCAAGTTGGGATCTCTCTTCTGCAGTGAAGCCAAACAAATGCCATCAATTTTGAACAAATAAAAGGAAAAACAGCATAACAATCAGCAGGGATTATCCAAAGTCAAGCTTCTTTGTTTGCCATAAAAAGGTAGTATTATTCTCTCTCCAGGAGATGACTCCAATTCACAAGGATAGCAGTCAACAAATTGATTGCTCTACCTATAGAAACTTTTGAAAGGCAACTTGTGTACCAACAAGTAGATTAGAATTTTCAAGAAAATTGATACCAAAATAGCAGTGCAGTAAAAACCTGTGCAGCGAACAGAGACACCAGTTGGAATATGAGTAATCCGGACAGCAGTTTCAACCTTGTTCACATTCTGACCTCCTTTCCCACCTGCCCTTGAAAAACTAATTTCAAGTTCTTCCTCTGGTATTTCAACACCAACGGACTCTTCAGGGAGAAGAGGCATGACTTCAACACCAGAAAAGCTTGTCTGCATATAACATCATGTTAAACAACTTACAACATATATTAAGATGAGAGATGTGAATGTGAGCTCCTACCTCAGAACAACTAGATTACTCTTCACTTATGGTCTCTCCTCAACATTTTCACACAAAAAATAAAACAAGAACTTGAAAGCATGGTATCATTTTGTTCCAAATTCCCCATGTACCTGTATGAGAAATCCACTACATAAATCAGAAGATGCAAGATACCTGGCGCAGACCCTTGGCATTGAAGGGAGATTGCCGCACAATTCGATGTGTTCCTTTCTCCCCAGAGAGATAACCATAAGCATAACGGCCTTCAACTTCAATTGTGGCTGACTTAATCCCAGCTTCTTCTCCTGGGGACTTTTCAACCACTCTGGTTTTGTATCGCTGTTTCTCTCCCCATCTCACATACATTCTAAGAAGCATGTCCGCCCAATCCTGCACTGGAAATAATCAAGATTTTTACAAAGGAAAAGAAGAAAGCTAACTTTATTGTCATATATTGTGCACAAAATCTGCATGGATGCAACCTGACCTATATTGTCATAAATGGTTTTGCATTGCCAGAAGTGTATTTGTATCCACCTATATCTCATTTAAAAACATATAGTTGCCTTTTGAAATATGGCCAATATGCCTTTGGATGTTGTCTTATTTTATCAATCCTAAGTTACAGGAGATCTAAATGAAACCATCCATTTGGCAAAAGCCCAAAGAATTCAAAACAAAGTATTTATAGATGATACACCAAAAATGAAAGAACCTGTGTAGCAGATACTAAAGCCAGTTCAGTCATTAATGAAGAAGAATTGCGCAGAACAAGTCAGAGTGAAAAATGACGGGCAAAATACATAAACAAATTCAACATTTCTATCTGTTTACGAGGAACAGTCATAAACTTTCTAGCCTTTCCTTGTAGTAAAGGTGCTTCCTCCTATCCCGTCATGTCCTCTTATGGTTCCCAAAATTAAGTGTCTATATTCAAAATTGAGAAATAACTTCTTTAATAAGAAAATTAGAATGGAATCTTTTGGAAGTGAAAACCTTTCCAAATAAGGTGTAAGAGTTCAGTGTTGTTTGTATTGAGCTCTGTGTGGGTACCAGATAAATTTGCCTCAATTTTATGCAAAATGAACGTGGACACTTATAATAAAAGGTAGAAAAGAAAGTGACTATTCACCTGTGCATCAGTGCCTCCAGCACCAGCTGTAATATTGATAACTGCACCTTCCTTGTCATAGGGGCCGGAAAGAAGTTGAGTCAACTCAAATCGATCCAATGCTTTGTTTAATTCTTTAATAATACCTGCAGCCTCTTCAAGAAGCCCAGCATCTATGGAATCCATTTCCTCTGTTAGCTTAACTATAGTTTCTGCATCTTCAACCTGAATCCAATTCGAGTATATAGCTAATTATATCAAGAACACATTTCTAGGAGGAAACAAGTTCACAAGCTTCCTCTTTTTTTTTTTTTGCCAGAAACATAATTCACAAGCTTTAATGTACCACATTTTCAACCAAACTTGTGCTTTTCACAGAGATGATACTCACCCTGTTCTATTTATGGGTCAATTTTGAAACTTTAGTGTATGGCAGTTATTGGTTACTGATGGCTTCTGGTGCCATCTTCAAATCATTTATGACTTTCTTTAGAATGTGAAACCAAGGGCCACATACACTCACTTTGGGGACACCCATAATAGAGATAGCATCAGAAAAGTGGGAAATATAGAGATACAGCTTGATAACAATAGATATCTTGATTTATGAAAATTTATAAGTCTACGGAATATCACTGTGTCAAATAAATTCCATCATCAGTTAATCTCATTAACAAAATACATTTCTTATATTTTGTTGCAAAGGGTTTCATTATTGAGTTAGATATAAAAGTAGCCCTTGCTTTAAATTAATATTAGCTGTTGCTTTCATTATCAGCCATCTACAAGCAAGGAAAGACAAATCATACTCAATAGTCATCGCTCATGAGGTTTAACAAGAAGGGTCCAGCTCACAATCTAATGACTAGTATCTCCCTCAGAGCAACATCAACACTCCTCAAACTAATATATTAAAATTTTTTCACATAAAAAATATACAATTATTTGATTTTTTAAATTAAAAAGATTTTATTTAGCCAAGTCTTTAGTGATGACAAACTAGCCTTCAAGTAATGCCTGAAAATAAAGCCAGATGAGGAAAAGAATGAAATTATTTCAGAAGCATTGAACACCAAACATGTAAGATCGACAGATATATTATGTCTTAAGCATGAGCAACTATAATGAAAGTAGTAAATTTTACTTAAAAGAAAAATATAAACCTTGGTTTTGAACTCGTTAAGCAAGTTTATCTTATCTTTGACATCAGTCAGCGCTTGAAGGATTTCTTGAGCTTGGACACGATCATCCCAAAAAGAGTTATCAGCTGCCTTCAGTTCCAAAGCTGCAACTTCTTTTTCTAATTGCTGCAAACATGCAGCAGCTCTTATCTCTTCAACACGTTCTGTGGCAGTTTCTACATCCTTCCTTAATGTATAAAAATCTGTTAGCAGCACCACAGAGCTTAGAATGATATAACTGCCCCGCTCCCAGGTGCATGCAGCAAGTTTTCATAGATAGAGGTCCAACTAGCATTACATCAGGAGGTAATCAAAGGTAAGAACAAATGTTGCCTACCACGTATGCAGTAAGTTACAATGAACAGTAAGATCCAATCATGAAAGATATTCATCACTTTCACAAATGATGACACAAAATGGAAACAGTCAAAAATCACATCATGAAACATATCCATCGTTCTTGAAATTACTGGCTATTGATTTCTTTCTAAAACAGACTATCAGAGTAGCAACTAACGGATAACAAGAAGTTGAGAACCATAATGATCAAGAAAACAGGTGATTCAGTCCCAACAAGTACATAAATATAACAGGGAAATCCTAGGCCAGCAAACTTGCTGAGATTTCAACCATTCTCAATGTTGGTAAAGAGCAATAGTCAACAAATGACAGCACAAAAATGGAAACATGTAAATCAAAGTATTCAAATCCATAAATGACATCTCATACATTTAAGTTTGTTCACATTACGGTTCATGATACACTAATTTCTCAACAATTCAAAATATAATGGCAAAAAACTACCTTCTCCATTAATATTACTAGAATTCACTTTGCCCCAATTATGGTTCCTATAGAAGAAAGGGAAGCATTGGCAACGCATACGTGATATCTAAAGTTGATGAGTTTAGAAATAAAGAATACCATACCTTGCATTACCCATTCTCTTGCATCAGCTCCTGCCCCCTCACTCAATTGACTCTCCCGTACAGCAAATATAACTGAGTTAAATGGATAAAATAAATTAACAAACCATGAACTAAAATATCAAAGTAACCCCTTAGAAATGCTGTAAAAGTGCTAAGATGAATCATTAGACAGCATCAACAACTGAACTATTCATTTTCAGAAGATGAATACTTTTTGTAAAACGAATTTGAGAACCCAAGAAATTTCAAAGATAAACATGCATGAAACTCCAAGAAATTTCAGAAAAGAATTAAACTTGAAATGAATTACAACAAACCCAAAAAAAAGCTTCAACCTTTAAAAGAAAAATAAGACACGTCAACAACCAGCATGAAACACATGAAACCCACAAAATTAATGAAAATTAAATTTCAAAGAGAAAAGCCCATCAAAGTTCATGATAATGGAATCGAAAGAGACATTATTCAAGCAAATTTAACCAAAAAACCAAGGGTGGAATTGACATACCAGAAGAATGGAACTGAGAAGGGACAGAGAGAGTTGTAGAGAAGGTAGGAGTTTGGGAGAGAAAAAATGGGGATTTATTACAGATAATGTAATTACAGAAAGGAGATGGTCTGGGTAGTAATAGACTCGCTGAGCTGAAGAGTGGCCGCACAACGGCTTCCATGTTTATGGCTTTGGAAGCTCAATCTTGTGCATTATCTAAAGCGACGGGGGAAAATTTTATAGATGAGGGATAGCCGGTAGTATGGTTCGGATTGGTCTCGGTCTGCTATATCCGATCACAATTCTGGTTTGGTCTTATATTAGTTTCATTTCATATTGTTAATTTGATTTTTTTTAATCTAATTATTAACTTGACAATGGTTCTTTCATATTTTTTTTTAGATAATATCTGGTCTAAAATTTAAATTTTATTATTTTTCTTTAATTTTTATATAATTTTATTAATTTTAATTAATATTTTATATATTTTAAAATTAAAAAAACATATCGTTACAACATAACTAAACAAAATCTTAAAAATTGATTTCTACGATAAACTTACAATGCTTATTAATGAAATTTATGCTCACAAAAAAATATATATTATCAACTGAAACCTAAATATTTATTGTTGGAGTTTTTTTATTCTTTTGAATTATTCATTAATTCTTATTTAACCTTAATCTACATTTGGATTGGAAAAATTGGAGGAAAAAGGAAAAGGAATGAGGGACGGAGAGCAACTTCAGTTGTTTAGATTAATAATTTAAATTAAAATGAAGGAGATAAAGGGAGGTGGAGTTCTTTCATTTCCTCTATTTTCAATCACTTTCATTTAGATAGATTAAGATAAATTATATTTTTTAACTTATTTTTGTTTTTAACTTTTTAAAAATAATTATGTATAAACATTTTATTTCAACTATTTATTTAATTAATAAATTTTAAAAAAAATTTAATTTTTTTAAAAATTATTTAATTAAATGAAGATGAAACCCACCTCTCCCTTTGCTTTCAATCCTT